AAGGTTACTTAGCATCAGGAACCACATTGTTTACAATAAACTCAAGAAAGGGAAAAAATTACAAACTGACTCAGACGTAATCTACCCAATCTTTAGCTGGCTTGAGTTGCACTCGATCTTGTGGACCTAAAATGTTAGTAGACAAGGAAGTCATAAGAAAATATAAATGTTTGCTATCATCAAAATTCTAATCCTTAAAATCAAATTTGCAACATGATTAGTTTAAAAATCCAATTTTAGAATATCTTACTTAATTCATCTAATGGATAGGGTTTTCAAATCATAACAAATCGTGCAGTATAATCCTAATCGTATAGTATGATTAGTTCACATAAACTAATTTTTTAATTAATTGTTAAGCTCATTCTTTATATACTGATTGTACAGTATGATTAGTATAAAAATATTTTACTTTTAAAATTTATCTCACTCCCCCTATGTGTATGTGCACGATCTCCCAATTTGCATACACTCTTATATAAGAAATAAAAAATAGAGAAAAATAAAATATCAGACTTTATTAACATGACATTTTTATTCTACCCATTCTTGAGCTTTCAGTAGTCTTGAGCAGTATATTTCTTACCTATAATGTTAGTGCTCACAAACAAAAGAAATGTCTAAAAAATTTAATGAGAAAAGTAACAATTTAATCAATAATATTTTTCATCATTAAAATCATACACTAGAGATCTTAGATTGCAACAAACTCATAGATGACGATAAGGATCATTCTGTCATGTAAAGGGACTATATGATCCAAGACGATGGAACCATGGTATCTTGATCGAGCTCATTATCAGTCCCTTTACCATTTTCTTTAAGTGCAAGATGGTGAAATTTTTAATTTTAAATATTAAATTTTCAAAAACTAAACCCATGCTACTACTATATACCAGATACATGATACCTATCTAATTGATGATTAGCCTTAATCAAAAGTTCTCTCTTATTATCAGGAGGGGTAATTAATTATAAGGGTTTGTGCCTATAGGAAACCAAAACTCAAATCTAAAGTTCTCGCAAAATGAGAGTGAAATCTCTGTGTAGTGTCTTATTTCAAACCCAATCTGCCTTCTAAAAATTTACCTCATAACTTAACTCATTAAAACTCCCCAAAAAGAAAAGGAGATCGAGGCACAATTTTTTGGAGCCCGCAATCTCCTAAGTTATGCTAATCAACTATGAAAATATCTCAATTGGATAAGTCTTTCAAGAGGTGGCATTTTTATGATTGATGTGATTTTATTCATAGATATTTTGATTTTGTAGTGTCGAACCAAGAAACCAAAAAAAAAATTATGGGTGATAACACTTTAAAACCTTGTAATTTTATCAAAATTGAATCCCCTTCTGGACAAGCCAAAGCTTTAGCTAATTTTTCTTTGCCATCAGCTATAAAATTCTCTCTACGAGGAATTCTATATAATGTCGCATTTAGAATTTATTTTAGAAGATGTATTGTATATTGGTGATAGGGGATCAGACTTTCATTAACACTTTGAAAATTCTAGTTATTTAATTAATTGCTTGATGAGAATCTCCAAAAATTTTAATCCCTTGGATTTTATTTATGATTGTCAACTCTAACCCAGTTTTCAGTGCCTCATAGTTAGCTTCATTATTCGTTTAGGGTTCTGACATGTGGTAAGAGTAATATATTAAGCCTTTGTCTGGAGTGATTAACACTATAATGATACTAACTTTTCTTGGGGAAGTGTTATCTGATGGTTCCTATTGAATGGAAGCAGTACCATAAAAATAAAATTCTCAGGTAGACTTTTTATTTGACTCTAGTTTCATAATTTGTTCATCTCATAGTTCAATATTTATAGGACAATCATCTTGTACTAGATGAGTTGCTAAGAAGTCTTTTATAGCTTGCCATTTCACAACTCATAAAGGAGTAAATTTGATTCCAAATTGTGTTAAAATCATGTGATATCCTCAGGGTCCAAATCCTCCTCCACTACGGGTCAAAGAGGCCTCAATAACTACTCTAGAATAGGTTGGTTTTTGCCTCTCTCTAACTGCCTCCTACCTCGGGTCTACATTATAATGCTCTCTATAGGCACTACACCACCTTCCCGCCTGGCCACACCTACATTATTGATCCATATACAAAAAATATTAGTATGTATGCCTCCATTTACAAAAACCATAGATGGTCGCACTGTTAATAGATACAGATCCTCCAACACTCCAAAATTCCATGAATCCTCTCTTAGAATCAACAGCTTCCACTCTCAACCTCTTCCCACTAAATACACTTTTGGAAGGTTCACCTCCAAACCACTTCTTGCTAGCATCGCATTATTGTTGGGTGGACATCAGATCATTCTATACCAGTCTTTCTCTCTCCACAAACTCAAAAAAGCCACTAATATGAAATGGGACAAAATGATGTCTCTCACTATCTCTCAGACCTCATAGGAATTGATAACACTTTCTCTTCAGGAGTGCTAACTAACTAGGGAGCATACATGGCAGAAGTTATAAACTCTAGCTCATACTACATCACTATCTCGCTCCCTTGCACCAACCGTAGAAAAGACTCATGCATTTGTGCCTAGTAGATGGCAACATAAACTAACTCTTGAAAGTCTCAGCAAACTCTTCCTAAATATCCACTAGTGCTCGGCTTCTCCATCCAGCACAAATACAACTATTAAAACCTTCCTACCCTCTGAATATTGTAGCTATCAAAGAACTTTTCTACCCTCATTAACCAATCTTAAGCTGCATGTGGCTCAACAGCAACCGAGAAATGAGATGGTTGGATGCATATTAACCTCGTATCATTTCACTATAGCCATTCTACCTTTAGTCTCACTCATCAACTATTTTGACCTAGCATCGCAGTACTCACCTTCCCAACACTATAATGCCATTAGAGAATCTTTTAGATTATCCCAAAATATTCGCACCTGGGACCCGGTGCAACAACATTCACCAAAAACATATTTTTTATTAAAATTTTTGAGAGCTCAATGCCACGGTGCTTCCAATCATTGTGTCGCAGCTCCCACATAGCAGCTTTCCTAACTTGCATTTTCACTTCTCTAACCCGATCCCCGGCCATTTAAAGCCCCATTAGACATTCTAAAACTTATAATTGTACATTACATCAATTACAAATAAGTATTTAACTTAATTATTGGTAGCTTGATTTAATACTCATCACTTTCATTCACTCATCATGTTCGTCACTTGCCTTTCAAAAGGCCAAGTGAACTAGGGAACTAAATATATACTTTCATATATCTTCACAAGTATTTAGCAGGTATCCCAACATAACATGAAAGTAACTCACCCTACATAGTTGAAGTCACTTATATGACAGGAGATTACTCATCAAAAGCTCGCAAGAGAACTCACCCAAAGGATCAACAGGTGCTACTCATCCAAGCTTACTAAGGAGATCGTCGAATGCCTAGTGAACCATAACCTCCACATGAACAATTCAACACCCCCTACATGTTTGTTTGCCACATCCATCAATCACTCCCTCCAAGCAAAAACTCATATATCCAAGCTGAGCTACAAAAAAGTGACTATTCAAGAAGCCCTCAGCTCACCCCACTATGGGCAGCAAATCACCAAGCTCATATTATCTATGATCATGAATCACTCGCATTCTCATCCAGGTGATCCAAGGCTCAATACCAAGTTGCCATCGTCTTACATAGCATTCAAGAACCTCCTCCTCAAACTCACTCATCTGCTCCTACTCAACACTACCAAGCTCACCCAAACTATAGAGCTCGCTTAGTGCGCACTCAACACTATCGAGCTCGCTTAGATACAGATCGACAAAACTACACAAGCCTTGCTCTCTCTCAGCCAATCAAAAGTCAACACGTGTCAACGACAATGTGTAGCGTTATAGGGGTGTTATATTTTTTTACTTTTTCTCTACATTCTCTTTCATGTAGCTCTTATAAATAAAGAATAATGAGGAACAATTTGGGAAACTTTTTTTTTTTTAGTTTGGGAAACTTATTAACTGATATAATAGATATTCAAACTCAATTTCTTAAATATTTTGCTGATTTTCATCTATTCTCTCAACTCTCTCGCTCTTTATTCTGACATGTGGCGGCTCATCAAATCATCCTCCTAGGAAGGTCTAACATCTTTCATAAACCAATTTGAATCCAACAAAACCTCAAATTCATAAGCATAACAAGAAAAAAATCATAAACACATGCAATTGAACTTAACCGAAACCCCATGGTATTCAAGTTAGTAAAAGTACATTTAGTTAAAATCATACCCTTTAAAAAGAATTAAACAGCCATCTACTTGCCAGCATAAGATGGCATAAATAAAATTGAGATCGAAAAATGAGATTTTGCTGATGTAAAATACAACTAAAATATATTAAAATAAAAAATTTAAGTTCAAAATAATTAAAAATATTTAAAATCTCTATTTATCTCCATTAATTTCTCATTATTTCTCCCCTAAGTTTTCATTTCTTATATCATTTTTGTATTTTTAGTATAATATATATTTGGATAAGAATATTTTCCCTTATTAAATGAGTCCACTTCAGGGCAAATTATTAGGACCGGTCATCAAATCAAAAAATAGGTCCGGACATCCAATAAAAACTTACCACATATGCTACACTTTGACTGTGCTTTGACTGCGCTTTAACTACGCTTTAAGTGCATTTTGACTACGCTTTACCTGCGCTTTGATTGCGCTTTACTTGCACTTTACCTACGTTTTTGAAGCGCTTGACTTAAAATAATATTTTATTGGTCTCCGAACGATCTCTACGTCCGGCGACTGGACGTAATAAATTGCCCCACTTCAGAGCCACTTGGAATTCATGAACTTCAAAATTGATTAATTAGTTCAGCCGAAGTTCAAGCTCAACATAGAGATGGCTCAAATTTGACTCAACTCATTTAAACCCATATCCAAATTTTTATAAAAGAAAACAGATAAAATACAAAACACCATATGAAAAGTTGTGAATGAGCCTGCAGTTTCAAATTTGGTGAGTATTGTTGAGACATTTCTGCTTTCATGGAGCTTATAATAATAAATTCGTAGTTCAACAAACTAAAAATAAAAAATAAAAAAAAAAGGGTTGTACATTGAAAAGGGAAGAAACAATTCTTCTACCCGGTAAAAAACCCATTTAGAGACTGTATATATACATTACACTACCATGGATAAGAAAAGAAATATATCATTTTTCTTAAATATAAAACAAAAACAAAGAAGGCTTATACGAACATTTGTCAGAGAGGATGGCATTGCTTATTCCATCTCTGGTTTATCTGTAGAACTCCCAAAAAGAAGCATTTCAAAGACGCTCCAGATTACGTAGGAGTCGATGAAGGCTTATCTGATCCTCGAACATTATATTTCTCATAAACTTTTTCACGGTTCTCCGACCACCATTCTTCAGCTTGCTGCTCTCCAAATCTTCGTCGACTGTGAAAACAGAAAAGATCCAACATGATGAACAATAAGTACTAGAACATGATGAACAAAAAGCACTGCATGCAACATGAAATGTCTCAAGTACCTGAAACGCACTCGTTTCAGATCTCGAGTGCCATCTCGAAGAGCCGTCAGCGTAATATATACACCAGGTTCATATTGTTCAATCCATTCAGCCTCAACTTGATTAAATGTTGAAGTTGGGCTCCTAGGCTTTGAACCATTCTCCATAGTTTGAACAGAATTGGCATTATTAGTATCGAAGTAATCAGACCTGGAGCTAGACATGCGAGGTTCTGGTTCAGCATTACTACTATTTTTAGTATTCATCATTTTTTCCATTCCAATTGGATTAGAAACCCCACGATTTTGAATGTCTGTATTGGTTCCATTAGCTCCAATGTCATCTGTGTGTGCACGATTCCGCTCTGAAATTCTATTAGTAATAATAGACGGTGTTTGAGCAGCGGTTTGAGGTTGCTGTGAGCCATCATCTCTATTTTTCAAATTATGCGCTCCAATTGAATCCATGTGATCAAAAGCAAGTGAGTCGATGCCATTCGGAAGCGGCCTTACCTTAATGGGATCCTCTTCATACACACCCTGTGGGAGCCTCTCAGCCATATCCTTAAGCTGAAAAATTAAATCAAAAGAAAGAAAAATCAATACCAGTGTCCATTAAGTTAGATGTGTCAATAAAAAGCTGACTGCAAATACCGTCCAGATATTTGAAGGGAACAAATATCATCACCTAAAATTACTGAAACTCATGAAATTAAGCTATAAGCAATATCCACCTGCGAGATCAAAATGTTGTTCCATCAGCTCGTAACTGGGATGGAGCCAAGTGAGACATTTTACTACCACAGGAGTTCACTATCAAATCGTTGAAGCCAATATGCTTCATCTCATTTAAAACAGATGGATAATCATAATTTGACGAACTTTGAAATGCTGAACAATCACAGCAACAAGCCTTTATCCCACTGCGTGGGATTGGCTACATAAATCATTTTTCTCTATTGTATCATGTTAAGAGTCAAATTGTCGTTTAAATCTAATAAAAAAATATCATTTCTAATATTTTCTAACCAAGTCTTTTTAGGCCAATCTCTACCTTTATTAACATAGGTCAAATCTAATACATCTAATCTCCTAATTAGGTCATCAGAAGACCGACGTGGATTCTCTCTCTAATCTTATCTGCCACTAGAGCTACTCCTACCTTTTCACGTATATGCTTGATTCGCATTCTGTCTCTACGAGTAAAGCATACATTAGGGTCATCCTCAACTTACCTTCAACTCCCTCTGAAATTCAACTTAAACTTCAACTCCCTCTCTAGTCTTATCAACAAGAAGAATATCATCAACAAAAAGCATACATTATGGTACATCCTGTAGCAGTCTACTAAGAACATCCATGACTAAAGCAAAAAGACATGAGCTCAAAGTTGATCCATGATGTAATCAAACTGAATAGCAAAACACTTGGTCAAACTACCTTGTGTTTGAACACATAAAAGTTCCGGCATACATATCCTTAATAACATAAGTATAATCATTATTAACCACTTTTTTTTTCTAAACTCTCCATAGCACTTCTCTTGAAATTTTATCATAAGCTTTCTCTATATCAATACATATTATATGTAGATCCTCCTTATTATCTCTATACTTCTCCATCAAACCTCTCAATAAATGTATAGCTTCCATAGTAACCTACCCAGCATGAATCCAAACTGATTTTGAGAAACATTAATATCATGTCATAACCTAAGCTCAATAACTCTCTTATAGTTTTAAAATATGACACATTAACTTAATTCCTCTATAATTTACACTCTTGTGCATCATATTTATTCTTCAAAATAGGAACCAATACACTCCTCCATTCTTCTGGTATCTTTTTAGTCTTCAAAATAATGTTGAAAAGCTTTGTAAGCCAAAAAATTTCTTAATCTTTATGTCCCCCTTCCCCTAATCAAGATATGTTACAATAGTTGTTGATCACTATGCTCAATTTTGGAGCAGGCGAAGAAAGTTCTCGTCCTGCTTCACTTTAAGGCACAGATCATGCAAGAGATATGATGGTCCCTTGATGGCAGATCGTGGAAGAGAGATGATGGACAGATAGTCTATTCTTTGCTCTGCTTTCTCAACAGGAATATGAGCAACCTACGGGATTGGATTATGAAGATAAAAGTAAATGCTCTCCATACCTTAATAAAAAATAAATATTAAATAAAATAAAGCTCATAATGCATGGATTGAGTCATTAAGGTTAAACGGGATAATAATGTCATGTTGCAATCCTTAGGAAAAGCAACACCCTTCGATAGCACTCGCTAGCTCTCAAGAGTCCCCGGGTCTTATTTATAGAGAACACATAGTCCAGTAAGAGTTTTGATACGTCATCATAAAATTAACTTGATCGGGCACGAATCTCGAGGCAAAAGCTAGTTGGAAACTTCAAAAATTAATTTTGGGAGCACCCTAACTCCGATTTCAGCGGGCTTATAGTCAAACTGAGCGTCTCGGAAATACGAATCCAACGACACCAAATTCAACCCAATCCGAGCCCAAATGAGTCCGAATCAAGGGCTCAAAGCGCTGTTGGAAGGTTCAAACCGCAATTTGAGTTACCAAATGGTATCCGTTTTTGACAAGCTCATACTCGAATCGAACGGCTCAACGAGACAAATCCAACGAGCCCAAGATCGTCGAATTCCTACATCATTAAGACCTTCAAATGCCCAACGAACGGTGCATGATCAAAGGATTCAATATCGGCCGTCCATTCAAAACACTCCCAATTCGCCCCTGATCTCACGCCAATTTACGGGCTATGTCAGTCCAGAAAAACTATAAATAGAGCCCTCATTCTACACCAAAGGGAGTCAAGGGAAGAGAGAGAAGAAGAAGAGGAGAAAGGGGAAAAGGAGATTCCTCACCTCCTCGACCACCGCCGGAGCTCTTCCTGCCGCCTGAAGACGCCGGAACTCTGCCGGATTTTCAGGAAACGCAGGAATTCTGCACAACTTCCACGTGATGCTGAAATCCTTCCCAATTAACAACAGAGTTCCCTCTTAACGCCAAAACTCCGCCCAAGTGAAGCCGGAGTTCTCATCTGCCACCAACAGACGTCGGACTTCTACCCGACGTCTAACCTTCACTCTCCGCCAAGTTTTTACCCGACGCCGGACTTCTATGGGTTATCGGACTTCGCTGGACGTCTATGCGAAGATGCATTTCTTTCCATTGTTGGACTTCTACTTGACGCTATCCTATTGATCTTCGTCGTCAGACTATAGTCCTTCCGACCTCCGTCCCCAGCCGACTACGGTCCTCCTGACTTACGTCACCCGCCAACTACAGTCTTTCCGACATCCGCCTCCCGTTGAATACGGTCCTCCTGACTTATGTCGTCCGCCGACTACAGTCTTTCCGACCTCCATCGCTCGCCGACTACGGTCCTCCTGACTTACGTCGCCCGCCGACTACAGTTCTCCGTCGCCAGCTGACTACGGTCCTCCTGACCTACGTCGCCCGCCGACTACAGTCATTCTAACAAAGCAAATATGTTGATAGTAGCTCTTTGTATTTACATCATGTAATGTACTCTATAAGATGTACATCAAGGTAAGGCCTTCTCCCAAGGAAGGGCCTCATTTGTAATCGACTACAAATACTAGTGGATTCGTTCGAACTGGGCTAGGCCTCGTGATTTTTCCCCCTTTTTACAGGGGTTTTCCACGTAAAAATCTTGGTGTCTCATAAATGCTAGACCCTCTCTCTTTATCTGATTGCATGCCGGATTTTCGTACAACGCTAAGATGTTAAATCTTATATTTCTCTACCGCCGCGAATACTCCTGGACGCAACAAGTTTATTTCTGGGTGAATAGTAACCACAATCTATTACTCTGGCACACAATGCTTAAATTTTTGTCAAATGCTAAAAAAATAGGCAACAGAAGTACTCCATGCTGAGAATCACTAGATATTCTTTGTTTGAAGTAGACTGACAACTTAATGATGATGAGCGTCACCTTATAGGAGAACTGAGCAAATAGAACTCGGCAAATCATCAAAACTTTAACTAACCCTAGTGTCAGAGGAAGCAAGCAAGTCCCCCGATAAAATTCATCTTATAGGTGTTTTACGTATTTTTATTTTTTTTTTAAGGTGTTTTATGTACCTTGACAATGCTAGGAAGTATGAAACCAAAGGGGCATCAAAGTTGAGCATAAAACACTAGTGGCCAAATATGTATTCAGTGCAAAAAAACTTGAGCTTAAAGTGAGAAGCCCAATCACTTGCTATTTCTACATCAATATATTATTCACCAATCGAATGTGGGACTAATTAAATACACTTACGTGCTTCAACTAATTAAATACACTAATGTGCCTAACCAATCTCCCTGAAGTTAGAACTTTCCACATTAACTATTACTCCCACATAAAACAAAAGGTGTTCAACGTCTAGTATCAAGCAATAATAGCCCGCTCAACTATTTAAAGCTTATGTGGGAGTCATGAGCGCATAAACCTTTGTTGCACCATGGTAGAAAGAAGCAAAACTCATTGGAAACACAAATTGTATAAAATATTCAATCTATGTCAAACCATCAGGTTTAATACCACTTATCAATGCGTATAAACAAGGGGTTAAACATATTTTCAACCTAAAAGCATAAGCTTTTCTGACTCTGTTAAGCTTCTTGATCTTCCAAGAAGCAATAGCACATTTAGAGTAGGTGTAAACTCCTAAGAGAACAAAAGAAGAGAAAAATAAGAATTTTAATCATTCCATACCTTTTTCTTACAATTAGAGGAATATTTATAATACTTGGGTAGACCAAATTTACATTATAGAACCGGTCTACCTAACACAATCTTAAAACAGAATAAAAGAAATAAAATAGTGCTGATTACATATGTATAGACTATTTAGTTTGTACTTTATTTGGTCAAAGATATATTGTTATCTTTTGCTTGTTGTCGTGTCAATTTGGAATATTATTTTATTCCTTCTTTGGTAAACTTTTATGCTTGTAGGTTGGTCTATCATGTTTGTAGCATGTACTTCACAATTTGATTGAAATATTTAAAGATCTAATAGTAAGCGTTGATGTCTAACACTCCCATCGTCATAGAAAATAACCTTGTCCTCAAGGTTGAGAGAAGGAAAAGACAGACAAGGCTAAAAAATTTTCCCATGTTGCATCATCAGGTAGATTTAATATCCATTGCAGTAATACCTGACAATGACGCTAACCACGAAGTTGTATAATGCGTGAAGCCAAAGTTTAAAATTGCGCAATTGGGTATTGAGGCGTTTTTCATTTGTGAGGCGAGGCGTAAGCCTCAAAATCTAAAAATTGCGTGAAGTCAAAATAAAAGTTAAAATTGATTTCTTATACAATATTCAAATAATATGTTAAAAGATGACATATTAACTTTCTATTTAACTATGAAGTAACATATATATATATATATATATATGAAACAAAAAAATGTATAAAATGTAAAGTGTTAAGCGATAAATTATGTGAAATAGAATTGAAATCCAAAAATTACAAGAACAAAACAACATAAAATATATGAATTGTATTAAAGTATCATATAAC